TACATTATTTATATTCGGCGAGTAGTTTATTATTCGCATTCATTTAAAAAGATTATTTGAATATTCGATGCCATTTCCCTTGAAGTTAATTTTTTAAAAAAGTTTTAAAGATTAATTTATAAAAAAAAAAGGAGGGCTTTGTCGAGTAGATTAATAAAATTCAAATTTGAAATAATAAATTACGATTATTACGAAGTTAGCATATAAAAATTTGTATGTTCATGAAAAATTTAATAAGTAATTGTTCATTTTTTTTAAAAAATATGCTTATTTACATTTATATAATGCTATCATAATTATACACCTTTCTAAAATCGTTGTTTCTGTTTATAATCAATATGCATCCAATTTTAATTTATTTAATTTTCTTCTTTCTTTTATTAAGATTTCAATACTATGTTATTCTTAAATGATACATTCCCTTCATTTAATTTAATATTAATAAATTTAAAAAGGAATGAATAAACTATTGGATCATCTGGAAATGGAATAGAGTTCTGGTATCTGGCCTTATTAGATATAGTTTACGTCTTTTTATTATTATTTTGTCTACATCTTAGTTAAAGCAGGTTTCTTTAAAAAAAAATACAATTAAGGGGAGTTTATAATATGGATTATTTGATTATACAGTATTAATCATATATAATGTCATATGATGAGGGGTTAAGAAGGAAAATGCTTATAATCTAAACATTTAAAAAATTTGTCAAAAGATTTCTTTTTATGAGAGTAATCTATAGCTAATTTTTTAAAAAGTGGAAGACCGATTTTTAACCTAAAAAGATAATTTCGATTTTTTTTGATTTCCAAATTTTATAAAGCTTCAAATATATTCTATAAGTTAGTTTTTAAAAAAAGACGGGTAAAGCATTTTAGAATCGCCTACTATTGAAAGGGGTAAAGGGTAAATTGACAGATAAGAGGCTGCTGAAATAATAATCTCATCTAATTACAAAAAACAAATTAATCAAAATTAAGTAAGAAAAGCTAAGCTAAGGAAAAATCCAAGGTAACCAAAATTTCAAAAAAAGTAAGAAGAGATAATAATGGATTCAATATACAAGGTGTTTGGAATGGTCACACGCGAATAATGCTATTAATGACTCCTATTATATATATTCATATTGTTTAGTTTGATTCTAATTCATACCTATAAATTAATTGTCAATTTTATTCAATAATATTAAAGATAATTCATATTTTTCTGATTATAATTGATTTATATATCTATCTACTCTTTGTCATCAGATTCGAGCATTCGATAAGTTATCAAGTAAATTAACCTCTACTAAATCTTAAATATCGCTAAACCATATGAAGTACGAAGTTCTGATTTTTCTTGTTTTGTAGGCTCTATTTTATCATGTGATACAATTACTATAATCGGTTATGGCAAAATAAAGATTTTATCGTAAGAGGACAAAATCCATTTAGCCTGATCCGGTCGTCCCTATCTTTACAATAAGGTCAAAAATAGTCTTATAATATTATGAAACTGAACTAAATATACTATTGATAAACCTTTTCATAAAAAGTTGTTTACTATATCTAAATTACATTTGGTATCTGGATGTAAATTTATCTATATTTTATTTTTATAATAAAAACCCCTAAAAATCACTACCATAATCACAATATAAGTTTAAATAGTTCACTTAAGACCTTAAAATGTTATCACTCCTCATTAGTGAGCTACTAATGAGAAAAACAACTTGAATTAATAAGTAAAATCTGATTGTAAAGGCCACCAAAAAAGTTAGAATTTTGAGTGGCCATTTTACAAAGGGAACGATTGATAATTTTATCATTCAAAAACTATTTTACAGATAATGGAATTATATTTAAGATTAGGTAATAACCATCTATAAGACAATTTATATAATAAATAATAATATCATAGTTTTTCTTTTAGGATTAATAAAAATAATGTAATAATTTTTTTTATATAATATAATACAAACTTCATTTAAAAAAAAATTTGACCTTAACACTTGAAAGATAACTTAAAATGTTTGAAATCCTTCATACCTACTTGATAAATTTTTTTATCTTTAATGCACTTATCTAAAAAAATATATATTCATTTGTGAAGATTATTTTATGGACATAACTGAAAGATAAGGTGGTTTTTTACGCGAATATTTTATATTTATACCATCCATGATGAATATATGTATACTATATTTAAAAAAAATATAACCTTTCTTCTTTTTAGCATATTATTATTAAAAAGTGTATGAGAAGAAAAAAAAAGTGATTGTAAATTGATGTATACATAATAGCGTAAATCTGAGCATACAATTTTTATGCTTACATTGGAATTATAATAATTATAATTATATTGGAGTTGGCTGAAATCATGAGCGCCAGCAGGTTGGAAAGGGTCGTGCAATGACTTTTATGGCCTAAGCGAAAAATAAATTTGGCGGACTTTTAAAAATCCTCAATTTATCTAAGACTAAAAAAATAAAACAACGAACTACGTCATTCCTAAAATGGAATTCGCAAATAGGTAGCTTTCAATATGAAAAAATTGTAAGATTTAAAAAAAACATGTGCGTAGGTCATTAACAAATATCGAATTTGTTCGCGCTCAACGCTCACTTTTTAAAAAAAAGAAGAGTTCACATTCTTAAAGGTGTTCATTTAAATCTTTAATTATAAAAAAAAATACATAATTAATCTTAATGCCAAATAGTACCAAGTTAACTGTTAAATTCAGGTACGCATCCAGCGGCGGGGTGGCGGAAGGGATACTCTAGAGCCAAAACATACAGATTATTATAATATTTTTGGAGCTATCAAGTAATCACTGATTTTATGAAGTTAGATGTATTATAAACGCTTTTAGTAGAATGGCCTAAAAACGACTTCTAATCAGAAGATAACGTTTTTTGCATTCAAATATATTAATAAATTTATTTATTAGTATTTTATGCAATTTATTTTAAAAACCTCACTTTCGTTTATTTTAAAAAGCGGCAAAATCAAAATTTTATCAAAAAATATTACCTAGACTTATTGAGCCAAAAGAGGGCTAAAACTTCTGTCAGCTTTATATTTTCTTTGGCAAAAATATTAAGTTATTAGTTTTTAAATCGGCAAGAGGGTGCAAATATAATCCGGCGTAGAATAAATAGAAATTTTGGAATTACCCTGCCTTGGAGGTTGTTCAGTTTTTTTTATATTTAAATCATTTATATGATTAAAGCGAAATACTTAACATTCGTAATAGATTCGATGAGTCAATTAAATTCCTGAAATGCGACATTCATGTAGAATGACTTTATTTTTTAGATATGTTATACAAATAAATTTAAAAACCAAAAAATTAATTATTTTTTTCATTTTTTGAAATAAACCATTTATCTTTTAAATGATTCATTTCGTAGTATTTCTTGAATCATACTAAGAAAACCCTTTCTCAATAAATTTTATGGTAAGTATATTCATAAAATTTTGTTTGGATTTGATTAAAGCCAGGTTAAATGATTTATTTCATATTCTTGGGAAATAATAATATTTCGAAAACCCTTTTTAGACAAATTTATATTAAATATTCATAAAATTATGGCTAGATTGAGATAATAGCGAGGGGACAATATGCCAATTTTAAAACGGCCTGTAAAAACAAGTAAAAAATTTAGATGGCAAGAATGAAAGTTGAAAAACCAACTCTTCGTGAACATATAGAAGAAATTTCAGACTATGTCTTTCTCAGCTATGATCACTGACGACAAATTAGTGCGTGCAACATGTCAATTTGGGCTCGACATCTGCTGTTGCAAAAATAATAAATAAATCATTTTTCATTATATATATATGTTTTCTTTTATAAAATGGAATATATGATTATTCATTCTGTAGAAAAAGCTTAAAATATTTCAGTTACCTTGTAATGTTATCATTATTTGAATTGTTTACGTAAATTATAGGAAAATATTTTAATTTAATTCTATATCTGGAAGTATTCTATGGTTAATTAAAAACTACCAATTCCCTTATTCTATTCATAACAAATATTTGTACGTGGAATTATAGATTGGGCTCTCAATATTGACATGGTAAATTTTCGACATTTAATTGACTTAGCACCGAATCAACGGATTTAAATAGCTGAATATTTGTGAGCCAATTTGTCGCGACGTCCAAGCGGAATATTGTTTTAAACATTGTTTTATTATCATTTTTATAAGGAAATTGACACTGCATCGTATACATGTAGAATCGTTACTGCATTGTTATCTAGACTATCGCCCAATTGCCATTGTGCTGAATGGTCATTGCACCGAATTTTTGCTGTGTCAAAATGACACGTACCGAATAGAGATGCGTCCAATTGTCCTTGCGTCAAACTTGGCTATTGTGGGTGAAACCCTTAATTCGTCAAACAGTTTAACAAATCTAAGATATTTTCCTAATATATTAAAAATGTTTTATATTTTGCCCACTATATCCTAGCACTTACACAAATGAAAATGTATTTATTTTTTTAAGAAGAAGCAAAATTTATATTGGAGGTGATACCTCATAAAATACATTGAAGGGTTTAAATATTTACATAGATGACACCAAATACTGATGAAATCTAAAAATATTAGCTCAATCACAAGGGAAATTTTATTCATATTTTTTGTGAATACCATGCCCGTTACAATAATTCTTAAGAATATTTTTAGTATAAATCGACATTTAAATTTTTTAAATATAATTTGTATATATTTGTGGACATTTTTTGTTAATCATTAATTCTTATAAATTTATATATATTATTTTAAATGGTCAAAAAATACTTTTCGTACATATTTTTATTCAGCACACATTTATTTTATGATTATTTATTTGAGTAATACCTATATTTTTGGCAATTTCGGCCTATTCTAAAAATGACGAAACCGAGTTTATATACGAGAACTCTCCTCAGCTTCAGAGTTATATGTTAGTTATATACATTCTTTATAATAGCGTGCATAAATTTAATCATATTAATAAATTTACAGATTATTTGGATATTAGCAGACCTGTGTGCCGACGAAAATATCGGCGGACGGCGCAAGTTTGAAAAATTTAATAGACGGTTTGCGAAGCGCCTCTTTTAGTCTCCGTCAACATAGGCGGAGTATATCGGCACACCGACATAAATCTATTTTAAATTGATAATTGAATTTTTTTTAAGAAAAGCTAAATCAAATTAAAAATAAAATACATTAAGGAATATCTATTTTTACATCTTCGTTGAAAATAAAACTAATTATAAATAAAAACTCAATTTTGTATTTTATAGTTATATAAAAATTATTTAGTTTTAATTTGCCGGACATAAGGAGAGTCTCCTTGTGATCAACGTCAACCCAGCGCTAGAGAAAATTCTTTCATTAGGTGTGCTAGTTGCCGCAAATAATTTATTTTTTGGCTAAAGTATAAAAATTCGGAAATTCTATCCTTTTTTCTCATTAAAAATTTAAAACATCCAATCCTGTGAATGATGGTTGTAGAATTTAATGCTAAACTTGTCAAATAATTTGTATATTTGATATTTCCTCTTGGTTTTCAAACTCTATATTTACTAATTTGATATCATCATCTTTAAGTTTAAGATGTTTATTAATAATTTCAAAGATGGACAATTGTGTTCAATTAAATATTTTAACACAATTTTTAAAACCTTAGGTATAGAAAAATAACCAACACTGGATAATTTCTAAAATAAAAGTAAATTGAATAAATAAAATATTATTATTTGCAGATCGCAAACGGGAAATCGTAATGCAAGTTTTTTTAAGACATATTCTTCTTAAGTGAAAAATTTGAGATTTCATTTTCATTTACTATTAAATGCGTCCATTTCGTTTCTGGAAAAGAATGCCAAGTTAAATGTTGGCGCTTTTTAGGGAAAAAATTAATAGTTCCTCTATAAGATCCGATTCATAATTTGCGAATTGCGATAATGTTTTCCAATTATTTTCATACCAATATTAATTATATTTCTATTATTTTTCACAATTAATACTATAGTATCTAATCGGGATATTTAATTTTAATGTTTTTGAGTGGTTTTATTGTTATTATCATCATTGGAATCACCAATTTGTGATATTTACCAATCATTAAATAAAAATCTGTAAAATATGAAAATTATTTTTTTTTTAATTTATGCTCCGGCGGTGAGCCATCGTGGAAAAACGGCTGCCCCCGGGATGATCTTCATAAACGGCGGCGTTTTTGGCGTGTTTAGGGGGACCGACGCACAGGTCTAGATATTACTAATTGTCAATTTTATCCAGTCATTGTCCCTCTAGTTTTAAAATTACAACATTCAAATGTTTATTAATAACTTCAAGATAAATTTTAGAATTTTTATAATATTTTAATAATTATCTCCCCTCCTCCCAAAGCAAATTCCTGGCTACTCGCTGGTTGGATTTAATATTTTACTTTTGTGTATATAATATAGAAAATAGTATAAGAAAAAATAAAATATGATTAATATAAATTATAATATTTAAAAAAAAATCAAAATATTTAATAATTTTTTTTCAAAATTATCTTTTGATAAAGAAGAGAGCTTTGTAGTTAAAAAGGAATTTGGATCCGGAGGGGCTTAAAATTGAATAAAAATTTTGGACCGGGCTCGAGCCAAACTAACTAGCAAAAATCAATGACTTTAAATAACAATGTATACTTAGAACCTGTTTATCACTTGATTCGGCCGGGTTTCAAACTAATACCTATAGGACCGTATCATTGACCTTCACTATATATGGTTAAATTATTAAAATTCTATCATGAAATTACAATCAAAAAAATTATGACAATTAAATTTAAAAAAACTTTTAAATATAAAAAATTAAAAATAAATATAAAGTTGTTGAAAAAAACTTTAAAGATATAATTTTAATAGCTTTTCAACAACAAAATAATGGGTTTATCTTCATTTTTTTTGAGGATGTTTAGGATGATTTTATTTCACCGTTTTGTCAATTAATATTTTATTTATTTTTAATAAAAAAACATATTTATGTGAAACTATCAAGAGTGACCTCTTTTTAATAGTTCCCACATCTTAATCTTCAACGTTTTTGTTTGGTCACTCCCTACCAAAATCATAGAAATGCTATCAAATTATTATATAGATTGACTCCATCTCATATTAAGTAATACATAGCCACTGTAAGTGTTCATCTTAAAGAGGTTTAACTATAATTAAATTTTATGTTTTTTTCTTCTCTGTTAACATTTTATTTAAGTTTTACTTTTTCTATCTTTCTATTCATCTTGTAAATCTTTTCTTTACTCTTTTTACCGACAGGTAAAATTAAAAATCGTCTTTTAAAAATTTTATTTTTTATAACTTTTCAAAAAAATAATGTCTTTATTGTATTTCTCATATTATTGTATATATTACAATTATACAACTATATATATATAATTCCGGTAAATTTCTTATTTAAAAAGAAAAAAGAATGGAAGGGGGACTCTAGATTTGATTTCTTATGACAAATTGGTCGCTTGACTTTAAGGACAGATATGGTCTAGCTGTATTGTTTACAGCCAGGGAAAATTCTAACATCACGAGGCAATAAATCGTATAATCAGCCAAGTAATGTTGTTAAAAACCTTTATTTCGCCGATTTTTAAAAAACGACTAAAACAATATTTTAGCCAAACAAATATTATCGAATCCTCGAGATTTTATCAAAAGAGGGCCAAATTTTTCTACCGTCTGGAGAAATTTTGAGGATTAGGCAGTATGTATCTTGCTAAAAATCTTGACTTAGCCGTCTTTTTAAAGTCGGCGAAATCGAGGTATTTAACAACACTACAGCAATTTATCAGCGGCACATATACCCACAAAGGTCGTATGGTTTCACAGCAACTTAGGATTTTAGTAAATCATTAATTTGGGATTACACATGTGTATCACATTCCGTCACTACCGATTCAAATCCATTCACACAAACTGAGAATAAAAAAATCAATCAATAAATATATTTTCTTTTTTTCCTGTGCATTATTTCTTTATTTGTGTAAATGTATCTAATATGTTGAGTTATAATATAGGATGAACATATATATTTAAAAAAAAAAAATTAATAATGTAGAGGTTAAATATAAAACTATGATTAAAGAGAAAATAATAGAATAAGTTTAAGAAAATTTAAAGGAAAGTAGCAAACAATATCTAGGGAAAGAAGAAAGTAATGTTGGAGGCGGCATGGGGGAATTATTTGATGGAAGAGATACAGCTTAGGTAATTTGAGCGAATAAAGCCTTTATCAGAGAGATTATGTGGTTATTGATCTTTTCTTAGACCAATCTCCTTAATTCTTTAAATAAACTTTGCTATTTGCTACCGAAAGAGCTTAGTGAAACGTTGCCTGGACGTTTTCCATCGCTTCTAAAAATGCTATGCCGAGTCCAGGTGGGATGCTCGCGCAATTAAGTGCGCACAAAACAGCTTCATTGTATTTGGTATGTTGTGGGAAACAGTCCCATTGTAACATCAACTGCTATTTTTCATCAATTAACTTTTAAATTTTTAACCCTAAGTCACAAAATTAAACCTTTTACAAATGAGTTTAGGGAATTTTTTCAAATATTAGAGAAAAAATTTAAATGTAAATTTTTAGTTATAATTATGATTTCTCTTTAGAAACACAAATAAACATTATGTGTACTTTTTCTTTCTATGGATATAATAATTACATATATTACTTTTTTTAAGATTGCACAACTTTAACAAATAAAAGGTGTGCATTTATAGAATATATTATAATTATATTACAGATAGGATATTAAATGATCTAAGGGTTCCTTTAGTTTGACTAGGGAAGATTCTTATTTACTATAAACAGCAGATTATATAAAATAAAATACCCTAAATAAAATTGTACGATTAAATTGATCCTTAAAATTATAATTTAATGCTTAAAAAAAAGTAAGGACACTTCGATTGGGTTCTGCCATCAAATATGTTATCTTTACGGTGGTCTTTTTGAAAAAATTTTAAAAAGTTTTTTCGAGTTTTTTTACCAAATTTGGGGAAAAAATTAATGTGCATAAATTAAATAAGATTGCGTAATTAAAATGCGATTTGATCAGATAAGGTAACATAATGGTGTCTCAATAAATGGTTTTAAATTAAATTGGTATAAAATAATCGTTTTTAATACCGGTTGAAGAAAATTATGATATGCTTCACTTCTAAGAATTTGGCAGCATATACTGTTTATTTACAATTAAGGTTGGGAAAATAATTCGGTAATTCAGCTGTCTCCGGATTCCACAAAATAAAACTTTTGAAAAAATGGAAAACGTTTTAAAATAATTTTTTGCACTATTTATTTTATGCAACAAAATATCGTAAATTTACTCTAATTAATTTTTAACGTCCAAGCGTTACATAATATATTGAATCAATTAATTTATTTTATATAATATTTATTTCAAAAAGTATATAATATAACCGGTAGAGTATAAAAATTAGAAAGGTTTTATTTTATACCTTTTATTATATTTAAAAAAAATGATATTTCATTTTTACACCCATCAACTAAAATTGCTTTAACATTTCGAAGTTTATTGTTTTTGGTGACATATGCATTTACTCATACCTAATCTCATTACATTATAATTTAGTTTATATAAAAATGGATATATATTTTTTTATAAAGAAAATTCTCCTCTCTACCTATATTTAATAAATTTAAATCTCTTTATTCAAAATCTCGATTGAAACATTTTAACTTAGTTATACGTATACTGAATTGTTTGAGAAATAAATAAAAAACGATTTTAATAATATTATTATATCTCTAATTTAATTATAACTATATTTTATAAATATATTTATATTATCTTTAAAGATATGAGAGTTTTAAACTTTAAAAAAAAATCCATGTAATAAAACACACGCAATGCTATCTACTTTTATAAACTTATAATATATAGCTTAAAAAAATATATATTAATATTGACGTTTCAATATATTTTTGTAATTTAAAAATGAAGGTATAAATCTATTATACTTAAAATATTAAAAGGATTTAAATAGCCTTATTTTCCAAATTTTAGAAA